CTGGCTCAGGAAAATAAAGCTAGAGGAGCAAGAATGTTTTCACAAGCTTTTTTAGGTCATGACTTTATGGTGATTCTTATGCTTGCTTTTAGACTTTTTAGACTTTGTGTACTGTGAATTATGCCGAACAGGATATTATGACTAGTGTCTTTGAAAATTGGTTTGTAAGTCAAACTTAACATCATGGTTTCTGACAATAGCTTCTTATTATTGCAAGGTCACCTGCTCAGACACCAGGCCATGGTATGTGGAAAAATGTATTGGAAAGAAATGTACATATTTTTAGTTTGACCTCAAAAATGAACTTTTGATGTTACCAAAAAATACCAATCTTTGCTTTCATCAACCATTGCTCATCATTTTTCTTCAGTCCAGTCCGTTGGGCAAATTGAAACCTTTCATAATACAATTAATTTGATTTATATAACACTAATTTACAATAGGTAATGTTAAGACAATTTACAAAAAAAAGTCATTTCCATTCTACTTAACAGTGCAGCAATTTTTATGCATTATTTAAGTCAGTAAAAAAAAAAGTTAAGTTATCCGAGTTAAAAATGTGAATTGCATCATGTCATTGACTTATTGACTTGACTTGTTTATATGCTTCCCCCCCCTCTTCAAATTACTTTTACCCTGTAGTGACTGATTTGGACACAACTGGAGTTCCATAAAGTCTCGTAGTAAAAGTCACATTAAGACATAATCAGAAAGCCTCATGCTGAACCGATTCTCCCCACAACCAACCATCCTCCAACGTTTGTTTATCAAGTCAGAGTTTTTAACAAGAAAGAGTACAACCGGTAAAATTGTTGCTTTATAAGTCACAACAAGTGTACATTTTATCTTTAGGTTTTATGTAACACCATACTAATAAGCTACATGATTGTTGGTAAATAATATCACACCGAACACAAATCCTAATCATAAATCTCTACTGGATTTGCTCCTTTTTTCTTCTGCAGCCCCTGAATTAACAGGAACAACTGATGTTTGTCCGTTCTGTAAGAAAAAAAAAGTTTTGCTTCTTTTACATTGTTGTTTTTAGAGCACACAAATGATACAGTACTTAATAAATTAAAATAAAAGTTGGTCATTTACATTATATTCATTTAGCCACAAAAGGAAAGTTATTAGTTATACTCTACAATTCAGAGGGGAAAAGGTTTTAGACATTTTAATGAGATCCAAATTTTTTTAAAGTTTTGACAAACCTTGAAGTCTCTTCAGCTCGTGGAGTCGTCTCAGTGAAGTTATCGTTTGTGGAGGGAAACTTGCTGTCACTGTTCTGCTCAGTCAGAAAGTCCCTAATGTCATGTCGTGAGCTGGAAAAAAAATCAACAAGCATGTTTGCAAAAATAGAAGTCACATCGAATTTTCACTTAAGACTTATAAAATAGTTTTATGATTTTGGTTATGGCTGTAGAACTTAAACTGAGGCAACAATGAACAATAACTTGTTGGGCAAATAGTGGAAAAAGAGGAGATATTAAAGACATGCTAACCTAAATGTGTGCAAATGCAACCATTGCTCAAAATGAATCAAACTCACGTAACACAGTGTAATGATTCACCTCTGCAGCACTTTGAGTCACCTGAACTTTACCAAAATGTAATTACATACTAGATTTATCTGTAACTTTATTCTTACCTGTGTGATTAGATGCAGTTTGTCCAACAGGTTCCATGTTGACGTAAATTTCCTCCATGGCTTCAGACTCTGTGCTGCTTTTAACACTGACTATAAAATCCACTGCAGTCGTGGAACTAAGTGAAAAACTGTGGGAAAGAGGTGAGATGTGTCTGGTGTTCAACATAAAAAGTAACATATTTTAGAGATAACAGCCAAATAAAGTAACTCATGAGTGCGGTTTCACTATTATTTTCTTAAATATCTTACACAACATAAGATTCTTGAAGGTTTCAATAGTTTCCTAAGTTCATATTTGCTGATTCGGTTCTGTATCAATGAATATTTCTCCTTTTTCTTTGTTTTCCTTCAGCTCGGTTAATCCTACTCATAATAAACACATTACACTTTTCTATCAGTGAAGAAAATAAATTAATTTTACATTCATGCACAACTTTGCAGCCTGCCGTATGGTATCAGAAATTAGAAATGGTTTTAAATCACTGATATAAGGATGAAAAATGTTTGATATAAGGGTGTTGTGATGTTCCTGCTCCTGGTGTCCAAACGTAGTTCCGAAAGGGTAATAAATTGTTGGAGAAGATGACCGGTTCACTCCTTGGATCATATGGACCCAACAGTTTTACGGGTCTCATTCTGTCCTGATAACTAGTCATAGCCCAGTAAATACAACTATCATCTTTGCAGTTTTATTTCTAAATCCTCGTTTAACCCTATTCCTTGTCTTCTTACTGTCTCACTCCATTAGCAGAAACACTGACATTAAGAAACAACAATATTACCAAACCTCTATAACCGCTGGATTGAATAATTATGAAATTGTACGTATTTATTCTTAATTAAAGATATATACTTTTAGGACTGCCGTTTAGTAAAAAAAAAAGCTAGTGTCTAAAACTCAGTCACCATGTCTTCTCATCTTCTGAGAGAGATCGACAGTTTGACAAACAGTTTGCTTTGTGAAGCACCGCCTCACTGGGAGGAGGAAAGGCTAACATGCCAATCAGCTGCATGTTGGGCGGGTTAAAGTAAGAGAAACCTGATGCTGCATTCAAAGCATGAAGAAGACCAGCAAGCAAAGCATTCACAGAGTGGATGTAGTAGAATATCAGAGTACACGAGATACAGGATAGAAGATTTGACTGAATCAAGATCTGTGCAGAAGTTCATACTGGGAAGCTAACTGGAAAATTGCTAGCCAAGTATGTGGAGCAGGAAAATAGGTTTGCCTCAAAAGATTCAATTACTGCAACATGTAAAACATGTTTAGTTA